ACACAGTTTAAAGAAAAAATTTCAAAAATTTTGCATGAATTTCCTATGAATATACTACTAACACCTGCACATGCTAACTCTAATAAATCTCATGTAACAACCACTGCCCGAATGCCCAATTCACTCCCCCACACTTAAACTTTGGCATCGCCCTCGATGACCAAAAATGCACTATGCACCAGGGGGGTAAAGGGGAAAGGGTCACGCGTGCTCAACTTAGCTCAAGTCAATTATTACAAAAAGGCGATTAAAAGAGTCGCAGAAACTTCCCTAAGGCGTTAGTCAGTGCAGAACTAAACTGAGTCAATGTGATCCTCGACACATCATCCCAATAACAAGACCCCTGAGCTGCAACAAAAACACAAAGCAAAAAAGGTCCTTGAATGTCGTTAAAAGCGTTGTTATCTTTAAGAATTCATTTGAATGTCTCCCCGATTGAATTTTTAGCTGAAATTTAGTATGAGTAAACTAGACTTAATGAATAAGATGCTCAAAAAATTTCATCAAAAAATTCTACCGGGAGCCACCTCAAATGGCACGTCCGGACAAAACTTTCTATATAAGGACTTATTTGACCCCATTTTTGCAACTTCAAGGACCAAACTGACCCTTTATTCGTTTTCAAATAAATGGCTTTTGAATCTGTATATTACATTCCTTTTAGACTGAAACCAAAAGCAACAGCCTAAGTAGCCAGCGATCATCTCCTTTGGGTAATATAAATTTCAAAACGAAACTTTAAACACATTCTTACAATTTTACAATTCAATTGAATTTTCAAAACAGGTGCTAAACTATCCTTACGCCCCTTAAACATATCTAAAACCTAGATGGGTGTAAAATTAAACTCACCAGACTTAAGGTGATTCACGGCACAAGCGCCCATATGAGAGATGACAATTGTCAAAGAGAATAAGAGGGGAAGGGCTCCGGGGAACAGAGACATTCTATATATACGAATACACCTATGTTTCTCTTTCTAGTTCTAGGGCTTTTAATAAGAAAAATACTCATTAGGCTAAAATAACTAGCTTGGATTTTTTAAGTGTCTTTTAAATATGCATCTGACCCAAATGAAAAATATACCCTTTAAGGAAAAACTGAGGAAATCTAGAATGATATTTATTTCATCACTTAAAATTATTAGAGCTTACCGGTCAACTTTACCTGCCAAAACAACACATGATCAAACAATAAATCACACTATTCATAAAATAACCTTATTCAATTGACTAAATAAAATAAAATATTTATGTAACTAGATTGATAATCGGGGTGTTACAATCCAACTCTTGTTGCTCGTCCTCCACCAGGGCTCCTCCTTGGTATCGTCGTCCTCCAACTCTTCATTATTTTCGAGAAGGATTTGTTGATTTAGAAACCCTCAACCTTGTTGCATAAACAATTGCGCCATGTGTTCGTCTTACATCACATCTCTAAGGGTCAAAGACCATCTGTATCACATGCTGGGATCCTGGGGATGAAGATGTTGATCCCACGTGACGTTTATCACGGGACTGCGAAGAAGATTGAGAATTCAAAAACTAATTCTTATGATTGTGTGTGATATATCTGTGTTAATTGATTCTTAGAGTTTGACATTTTTTCAAATTTAATAAATGACTAAAAAATCTGAGAAGTAAAAATAGTGACTATTAGATTCTGACGGCTTCATGCCTAGTCATTAGGGGTGGGGGGAATATCAAAATTTTGATATTCCGCACTTATTACCATATAAAAAATAGCGAATTTATTGAAATGTTTGGTATATCGACAATTACGTTACGGTATTCGTACCAAATTACTTTGGTACGATATCAGTATATACTTTGCAAATATACGGTATACCGGTATATCGTCATACCGAAAATGCAAGCTAATAATTCCCTTAAAATTATAAGTATGACTACAAACACAACATTAACTTAAGTATAAATGACTTTATATCCATGTTTTTTTAACTATTTATACTTTTTGTTGGAGATCGTTGTTATTTATTTATATCTACAACAACAACAACCAAGCTTTAGTCCCAAAAGATATTGGGGTCGGCTCACATGAATCGATACATGATATCACCGCCAAAAGGAATTTTTATTTATTTATTTATATCTATATTACTTAAATTACTTTAGGTTATCGTTAGTATTTTTTTAATTCATCTTAGTAATGATTTTAGCATCTCACTACTCAAACCGATTTTTCATATGCCTTTTGTTCTCAATATTACAAAAATGAAGATAAAAGACAAAAAGGTGACCTCTTTTATATTTCCAAAAATGTGACCAACTTCACAATTATACCCTGCAGTGATTCCGACCAAAGTGACTCCGGTCACCATGATCACCCGTGTAGTGACTTTCTCCGTCGTCCGAATTAGTGTCTGCCGTCGTCGCCCGGATTAGTGATTGCCGCCACCGCTCGCATTAGTGACTGCTGCCGCCTGGACTAGTGACTGCCACCATCGCCCCGTCTAGTGACTGTCGTCGCTGCCCTCTATCAGTGATTGCCACTGTCCTCCGGCCAGTGACTGAGGCTGCCCCGCCCGGTGATTGTCGCCGCCCCACTAGCCAGTGATTGCCACAATCGCCTAACTACACCCCTAGTCACCGCCCGCCCTATTATAATGACACCACCACCAGTGACTCCGCCACCACCAATGACACCGCCACCACCATATTAACGCCGCACCACCGCCACCCCTGTTCCTTCCATAACCATTGCCCCCATCCTGTCCACAGCTGCCCCCGCCTCCTTCCCTAGCCATCACCGCCCCTACCCCAACCCTGCAAAACAGACCTGTTACTGCCCACCAGCCTGCACATAGCCCTACACACTGGCTCCCAACGGCCACTCCACACTCCCTATCCCCAGCCCACCGCATGTCCTTCGTTGATGCCCCTTTCTGACATCGGTGACGGCGGGTCCAGTCCCGGTGACCCAAATCGGAGTCGTGGTACGTCGACGTTGGTGATCCGGCACCGGCGGCCCCATATCGGAGTCGTTTTCCATCGAGGACGGCAGATCTGGCAAAACATCTTCTACAGAAATCACTGTCGCGCTCGCCATTCCAGAAGGAACTATGATGTGTTCCCCAGATTCATCGCCCCATCGGTTTGAATGGAAGTAGAAGAAGGGAGATTGAGAAAATTTGATGGGGCCAATGACTTATTTGGGAGTAGCCGCAAGCTACTCTAGATGGATGGGGGCTGCGGCGGGCTACAGAGGCAATAGTACTTGACCGGTGGAGGCCTTATGAAGGCGACGAAAATGTGTGGTGTCTTGGCGAGGCAACGAAGCGGTACCGTCAAGTCATATTTTTGGAAAATATCAAGAGACTCATATATCTGGAATCCAAAATTCTATATTTCATTCACCTATAATAATTTTCTATATTAAAATTCAAGTAAATCATGATAATTTATTGTAACCGCACTTTTATTGTACCGAAATTTCACTATACTGAAGCAAAGTATACTCACACCTGATTATATCGAAATTTCACTATACTGAAACCGCACTTTACCGAAATCTCGGTAAAGCAAGTTTGTATTTTTGTATATCGAAATTTACTGATTGGTAAGATATGAAATATAATATCGGGTAGACTGTACTGAACCTTCACTACTACTCACAGCAAATTATACCGTGCAACCGGCATACCATGCACATGGTATGCCAGTTGTTATGCGGTGCCGTTTTTAATAACAACCCCAACAATATAGCACACACTAGCTAGCACTTCCCCTCCCTCGTTTCTCTTTTTTTCTTCTTTCTTGTCATACACTCCACTTATCTTTCCACCATCGTTTTTTTCATTCTATGTTTGCTTTAATTTTTTCATTATCAAAAGCAATCATGTTTCCAATTTTTTTTTAAATTTTAGAAACAATATAATGATGTATGTATTACAATTTTGAGATTAAATTTTCATCCTCTCAAAAGAAATTTATTATGTTTTTTCTGTCAATCCTTATTCATACACTTTTTTTTCTTTTTTGCTTCAACTTAAATTACAATAAAAAAAATTAACTTATTTTTTCTTCAAAATAAATAATTTTATATTTTATACACTTGTATGATTTATATTTCAACATGTGTGAGTTGTGTTTATAGACACTTTTTGGAATTATATTTGATAGTATATGAAGTTACACCTTCTTATGCGCGAGTTACATCTGTTTATGCGTGAGTTACATCTTAATGTACGCGAGTTACACCATGAAATAAACCCTGCTAATGATCAAAAAATGATTTTTAACTATATCATTTTTTATAACCCTGATATTAAAAAACCATATTCACTATTTACAAAAAGTAATTAGGCAATTAAGATCAATTTTTAATTGTTTACATTGAAATCAATGTTGATAATATACATAAATGTTTTTTTCTTTTCTTATATGTATGTTGTATATATATAATGTACATATTTCTAGACTTTCATTTCAACTTTTCTAGACTTACATTTTAATGTACGCGAGCTATATTTTAATGTAAACGAGTTACACCACTAAATAAACCATGCTAATGATAAAAAAAAATTAACTAAATCAATTTTTATAGCCTTAATATTAAAGATTCAAAATATATTCACTATTTTTAAAAAGTAATTGGGCATTAGGATCAATTTTTCATTGGTTACATTGAAATCAATATTTTTCCCCTTACATTCCGATTTTGATAATTTACATATCAACTTGACTCAAGTTACATTTCCTATCAACGTGAGTTACATTTTCGTAAACGGGAGTTACATCAACCCTGCTACTGAAACACAAAAAAAAGAATTACTGTTCATCCGCGGCTACTGTTCATCCGCGTTTTACTTTTGGGAGCATGATGCTCATTGTGCGCCGGTACCACGGTATTCGAACTGACTACTCACACCTCGAATTTCTCAAATAAATTGGGTCCCAACCCACCGTTCGAAATTCAAGGTTCCGTTCCGCCTATATATATTATAGATAAGGTTTAAAAATCCCAATAATTTGAGAATGAAATTATACTGCTTTTTTTTTTGACAGAATGAAATTATACTGCTGATATATATATGTGTGTAATGGAAAAGAATAATGAGATAAAGTTGAGACAAACATGTCTACGTTAGCTCCAAATCCCCAAATCCCATACAGAAATTTCCACCACAAAAAACAGCAGTTGTGGGGCATTGTGGGATGCTTGAGTTCGCACAACTCACATGGTATTGGAGATAAGGAAAGAGGTAAATGGAAGAAAGTAAAAAACATGGAATTGAGAATTGGTGGTTCTTGGTCTGATATGTTCAGTCCATCTTCCATGGAGATGCAACCCATCGAGGACTGTGAGCAGCTTGACCAGATTTTAGCTCAGGCTAAACATCTCTCTAAGCCCATCATCATTCATTGGTGAGCTACCTAGTACTCCCAAATCCCCTCCGTCCCATTTATATTATCCCATCTTTCTTTGATTGTCTCATGCAAAACTTGATTAAGTTTGTATGGTTTTAAATCATTCTTACTTTATTTTTACATATCAATTTAATATTAACCACATAAAATAATTTTTCTTAATAATCGTGTCACCTTTTCATGTCGTGGGACAGAAGTAGTACTCTTTATGTTTTGCGTTTCTTTCATGATTTAATGGTTGAATGATTAAGTGTATTACACATTTGTCCAAATATTTACATAAAAAAACGGTATTAGAGCCTTAATGTATTTTGGAGGACTTCATCTATATCCTTTTTTAGGACATCATCTATATATTCACATATGAAAGGCATTTTATAAAGATGAAAGCTTGATATACTATGTGATCTTATAATATTCAAATTATTTCTCTTTTGTTTGTAAGTTGTTCTATTTATTAGCATAGATGTGATGGGGACGTGAGTAGTCATTTTAAAAGATGTATAGTTTATATTTCAAAGATGTATAGTTTATATTTTTATCAGTCGCCCAACCGTTTTTATCACTTATACGTCGCCCAACCGTTTGGCGACTTATAAGTCGCCCAACCGTTTGGCGACTTACCCATAAATTAATAAAAAGGGTAAGCTAACCTCGAGAACCCACCAGTCCAGTCCAGTATCGAGAAAGAAAGTTTAAAAAAAAAAGGAAAGAAAAGAGGGGCAAAATTGTCTTTTGAGACCCGCTGAATTTTACGACTATCGTGTCCGCAGGTCGCCCGCGCAGGGGGGGTGCGAATTTTCTGTTCTGAACTAGAAGCCGGAATTCTTGTGTGCGCGAGAGCTCCCCTATTCTCCTTCACCTTTTAATATTAAGTGATGAGTGGTCCATATTTATAGGCTTCAAACTACCCAAGGAGTTTAGGTGTGGGAAAGTTAAAGAAACCCACTTTCCACCTTTGCTTGAAAGTGTACACCTTTCCATCTATCTTTTTCAAGAGCTAGTTTTGAGCCACTTCAAACTTCAAGGTTCAAAACTCCAACATCAAAGGTCAACACTACAATCAAAGCTTCCATGAGTCACTCCGGTATATTATATATATATATATATATATATATATATATATATATATATATATATATATATATATATATATATATATATATATATATATATATATATACGGAAAAGATCCTGTCCAGCCGGAGGGACAGGATCCTCCGTCCGGCCACCGCCGTTTAGGGCGGTTCCCGGTGGAGTTTTTTGATGAAATTTTTATGGAATGTTCCTCATCAAGTATAGTTTATCCACAAAAAATTTCAGCTAAAAAATCGATCGGGAAGGCAGTCAAATATTTTTTTGAAACATAACTGTGTTTTATATATATATATATATATATATATATATATTTTTAATATTAATAATTTTATTGAAATAAAAAGATTACAAGGGGGGACATAGACCTTACCCCGGATCAAGGATAACATAAGGAGTATGATTAACGTCTAAAGCTATAGCTCCTCTAACCCGAGGGTGAAGCATAAGGGGATCATTAATAATGGATAATACGTCTGAGCAATTAAACATAGCGATGAAATGAGCTACCTTGTTGACCGTTATATTGCAATAGTGACAAGAGATATTTTTATCAAGGATCATACTTTTAATCTCACGTATGCAACGATCCAGGTCTGCCACATATTTCGGATTTTTGGATGATATCAATCTAAAGGCAGCTAAAGAGTCAATCTCAATGTCAAAGCCTTCAATTTCTTCCTGTTGTAACCGCACCAGTATATCATGGACCACTTGGAGCTCATATGTTAAAAGACTTGATCTGCTTGATGGTCCAGAGACTGCCAGAATGAATTGACCACCCACTCCTCTCAATACTGCACCATAACCTGCTCTGGAGGTATGAATGTTAAGCTTAGGTTTTAGCGTAGGCAAAGACCATGTTAAGACCTTAGGTCTGGACGGTTTATGTTGGATAAAGCCAATATCTTGCAAGTAAGATCCCTGCATAATATATTTGCTGCCATGCAGCGTATTGCTCCATAGTAGAACGTGTTTATTAATGCTGTGAATTACAAAGGAATTAGCAGGCACATTTGAATCACCCCATGTATATGAACAATAAGTTTTCCATAGGAACCAAGCAATGTGATAACCGCTTTCGCGGCGTTGTAGTAAAACGGAGTCTAACCTTTCGGTTTTTCCCCGAGTATCGTGTCTCTCGAGGAATGGCGGAGGAGCTTCTTGATTTCAAGTCCAGTCACAGGTTATCGCAAATTATTGGAAGCTTTCCAAATTAAAACTTTTGATTGATTTTCTAAACTACTTTTTGGAAAAGAAAGTAAATTAAATTGTGCAAATACTAATGATGGCTCAAAAATAGACTAAAGGAAAAAATATAATATTAAACTTAAATGGATTGGTGCAAATAAGGGCAATGAATTGAGTAATTAGAAATGGATATATTCTTGGACCTAGTAATTAGGGAAATTAAAACTAAAATTGGACTAATAATTTCTTTCCTCATAGACAAGAATAGAAACTATTTTCATTAATTTATCCTATTTCTAGGTGTCATTAATGTGTTCAAAAATGGTTGGCTTGAATTAAATTCTAACCTCATAGACAAGGTAGAAATAATTCTCCAATATTTTAATTAATAAAAATAGCCGAATTCATTAACTAGTTAAACTCATTATTTAAGCAATTGAATTTATCTCTCATAGACAAGATGTAAATCCCTTTCATTAAATTATCCTATTTCTAGGCCTTATTAATGTGCTTGAATATGGTTGGCTTAAATTATTTTCTAATCTCATAGACAAGTTAGAAATAATTTTCCAAGAATTTAATTAATGAATATGGCTAACAATTATTAATTACTATTTCATCATTTCAAACAACTAGTCCAAATTATTAATTTTAATCCCTAATTTTCGGTCAACAAGTCAATCCATATTCCTTTAGTCAATTCATGCCCAAAACAAATTTAGCTAATAAACATCATTTTTTCATTTAACAATACAATGAATAAATTCAACATTAACAAGGAATTAAGCATGTATAATAGCAAAAAATAAACAAGAATAATATTCTTCCAAAATAAACTTGTAGAACTAAAATATCACCTTCTGGAATTTTTCCCGAATTTTATAACCTAAAATCCAATTTTAACAACTAATTGATAATTTTCCCAATATTAACTAGAAAATACAAAAAAAGCAACTACAAATATTCTAAATTCGTTCTAAATTTTATATTGAATACTAGGAGTGATATTACTGTGAATTTAACTGGAATTAGGACAGAAACTAATTTTTTTCCTTTTTTGAGTATTTAATTTAATTTATGCAATAATAACCACTAAATGCCGGAATTAATTAAAATTTACTTCTACTTCATAAAAATTAACTTTGTTTTGATAAATAACTACCTTGAGGCTAGTAAACAACTATATAATTAATTGGAATGGATTTAATGTCAACAACTATTTTATTCAAATTTAAGAAGAAAATGCGAAATAGTGGAATAATTTTCTGGAAATTTTCGAAGCACAGATAAAAAAAACTAAGTACAGATTCAGATTCTACTCATTGAAAGGATGAAAATACATATAAAGAACTCACAATTTGGAGCTAAAATGAGAAAGATATGAAAGATTGAAGTTGAAGGTGCAACAATGGTGGAAATCCGAGCTTTGAAGAGGAAGAAGACGCCCTTTTTGATCTGATTTGGGCTTGAAATTGGTGTGTTTGAGATGGGGAAAAAGCCTGCTATTTATAGCAGAAATTTCACCGAAGGCGCCCAAGACGGCGGCCGCCTTCCGTCGGAATCTGGCCGCCTTCCGTAGGCGGCCAACCAGGCGGCCGCCTTTGGTCTCATTTTGGCCGCCTTCCGTCCCGTCGCCGACAGCGGATCGTGGCCGGTCTCGTCAGCCGTAGGCGGCCACAGAGGGCGGCCGCCTTCTGTCAAAAATGGCCGCCTGCCATCTTTTCGTTGGCAGATCGGATCCCGACGGATCCCGGCGGACCCCGGCCGCCGCAGGCGGTCCAGCAGGCGGCCGCCTGCCGTCCTGTCTGGCCGCCTGCCATCTTGTCTGGCCGACCGGTGGTTGGTTTCGTCCCCTTGTGCCGCAGGCGGCCACCGTAGGCGGCCGCCTTCTGTCCAGTGTCGGCAGCCTTCGGTCTTTTCCTGGTCCCGAGTCAAAGCGAGGTTGACTTCTGAATTTTCCCGTAGGCGGCCGCGAAGGCCTCCATTTTGGGCGCCTATTTGGGCGCCTTCGGCCACTTTTGTCTGGCAGATGCGGCTTTTCTTGCTCTTCAACTTTGTCTTCTGAATCACCTTGATAAAATGTTTGCTTCTTCCGGTATAAATGCATTTGTCACTCAAATTGACTCATTTTGTGCTCAATTGACCCGAAATCCCGCTAAACATATTATGGATGTGATTTTTACCTGATTTCATGAAACTTGAACCAAAATATATAAAATGTGTCTTTTCTTTCTATTTTCATTCAAAAATCGCTTAAATTTGATAAGAAAAATAAGTACAAAAATGGACTTATCAATCTCCTCACACTTAAGCGTTGCTTGTCCTCAAGCGACGAATTAGTTGTAAACACACTCAAAAGGTAAGCCTAACTGTATTACAATCTAATTGCTATTTTAAAGAAGTAGAAACAAAAACCTCATCTTTTATTCTCAATTTTTAAACATTTTAGAAAAATCACCCAAAATACAAGAGTTTAAAATTAGTATTACTTAAGAAAAACTATTTATTATGTTAAACCACCAATCAATTCCTTATCCCAAGGTTTTCATTATTTTAATTTGGACATTCATCTTGTTCACCATTTTTTTTTTGTTTTTTTTTTTGCTCTTTTTCACTCTTGTTGGCGGTGTTATCCCATGGTAAATGCATATTTCATTCTCACAGACTGTGATTAACGAATGAAACAGAGCCCTTTTTCGGAGATGGAATTGTCCTATAACAATGAGTTTTGAAGAGGTTTATTAGTAGTAACATGTTTTTTTTTAATGAATAAAATGAATGTCCAATTAAAACAAATTCGGACCTTTACATTCGCAACCAAAAACCCATAACAATTTTAAGTTTTCAAAAATAATAATAAAAGTAAATTCTTATAATAAGGGTGATTATCTAAGGTATTTTATGATTTGATAACAAATTGAGAAATTAATGTTTCATATCAAAAATAGTAAAAAGATTGTTCTAAAACAAGGTTTTGACTTTTGAGTGTAAAACGCAACCTCCTCACACTTGAGCTGGACCTCGCCCTCGAGGTCTTCTTTTGAGGCACAAAATTGGGAAATAAAGGCACATTTTTTTTTTGGTTCTTTCCTCACACTTGAGTTTTGAAAAGATTTTGTGAAGAGGAATAATGAAACAGGAATAAAAATCATTACATCATTCATAGTCAGTTTGTAAGAGCAATTAAGTCAAAAGAGCGGCACAATGTCCAACCTGAATAAACAAACAAACACAATAAAATGTTAAGGAAGAAAACTAAGCATCACTCGTGTCCTCCCGTAAGGCCTATGCCAAACTCTTATTTCATCAACATTGAAGCACACCCTGCAAACACACAAAACAAACAAACAATGTTATGAAAAACATGGGTTGCCTCCCAAGAAGCGCTTCTTTAACGTCACTAGCTTGACGTTTGAGAGAGAACTCTCAGCTATGCATGTCAGTTGTGGAGCACTCATCATTAGTGCATCCACCTTATCCTCCAGGTATGCCGTCAGATGGCGTAGACCCTTGAACTCTTGTGACCACCAAAATGTGATATAATCTTCAAAGAACACATCGTTCGAACAAGGAATTAGCACATATCCTGCATCACTCTCGTTAGTATAATCAACAAGTATTTCAGGATCAGGTGCCTCTGGTGTCTCCAACCGCTCATAATGAGCCTTCAAGGTAGAAGCAGCTTGAATAGAGGTTGCATACTCCTCTTGATGGGTTTTCTCTTCTTCATCTATGCCCTCAACATGAAAATCACAAAGTTTAGACTCTGTGTCACTCTCTAAGACTGCATCCCAACTTCCTGACTCACGACCCCCACAAATATCATCTAGGCAAACAAGTCTTTGCCTAGCACAACTATGCTCAACATGCTCAAGTAGAGAATCAAAGAAGACATCATCGGACATTGTTTCCTTCACATCACAAGTTTCATCAACTATTTCAACAGGTGCTTGAGCTTGTGTAGGATCAAAATCTTCACCAAGGCTATCTTTGTGGCACTCCTTAAATGTTAGGTCAACCATAGATGGTAGGGTAGGTTCCTTGTCACAAAGTATCTCATCATCTATGGTTTCTTCATCAACCTCATTGGACACTTTCATATGGGGCTCTTGAGAATTAAGTTCTACGAGGATAGGCTCTCTCTCAATAGCAATGAGAGGCTCAAAAGAAATAGGGGTGAGAAGAGTTTCAACCATCTCGCCCATGGTTACCGCAACCTCCTCCTCAGATTTAGCACCTTCCTCGTATGTCTCCTGTTGAACTTTGTGGTCATTATCATAAATGATTTTTTCAAACAATTCCTTGATACTCTCATCATGAGATGCTAGTTCAATCCTTGTCTTTCTTAAGTCTTCCACAAAATCGAGTAAGGACGATTTTAACTCTTCGAGCTCGTGTTGAGGATAAGGTGAAATTCTAGAGTCACCCTCGTAGGAATACTCGTTTGTGCTGGTGTAATGATTTTCTAACCTTTCTTGGTAATTTTCATGATAATTAAAATCATCATGATAATTACCTTGATAGAAGAAATCATCACAGCCTTCAAAGTCTTGCCCTTGGTGGAAATAATTATCTTGAAATTGGTAATCTCCATACCCCAAAGGTGGATTTTCGCACCATTGATTGTTATCCTCATAACCTTGTCCATAGTATCCTTCGTTTTGATTATTTTGAAAAGATTGTTGTTCATAGTATGGATAGTGATATGGTGGTTGAGAATTAAAGTGTTCACTTGAGTAATCCATGAGGAAATCTCAAGCAAACACGTGAGAACAAAACAAACAAGAAAAAGAAAGTCTCCCTAACTTGAATTTGCCCATGCTAAAATCAAAATCAAGAAATCACCGTGCCATTCCCCGGCAACGGCGCCATTTGATAACCGCTTTCGCGGCGTTGTAGTAAAACGGAGTCTAA